TATAATGGCAGGACCATTGCCCCATGTCCTTGCTCTATCTCAATTCTGTTTCAGGAGTAAATGGGTGCTTTTCTTCCCTGCCCCACCACACCCAGACACACATCAAATCTAGGTGGCACTCCCTTTCTACCAAGCCGTCAGCATCATGGAAAACAGAATCCACCTGTTCAGCTGACTCCAGCTGTTCTTTCAGCATATAGGTCCCTAAGTCACTGGAGGAAGGAACGAAGACTGAGCAGTGGAAATTTAAAATAAAGGAAAATGAAAAATCAACAGAAAATAACATTTTTTTATTGCTAGATAGCTCTCCTACCCCCACCTCCAATGATGATCAAGGTGTCCCTAGACCAGGAGTCACCAACTACAGCCTGAGGCCCAAACCCAGCTTACTGCCTATTTTTGTCAATCATGTTTTATTGGAACACAGCCATGACCACTCATTTACTTACCTACAGCTACTTTCATGCTGTGCTGGCAGAGTTGAGTAGTTAAAACAGACACAGTCCAGCACTGAAAGCCAAAAATATTTACTATCTGGCCTTTTACAGAAAATGTTTCTTGACCCCCTACACTAACTAAATGAATTAATGAATAAAGCAGAGTTTAAATGCTTTTATTATTTGGAGGCTCAGCAATAAACTGAGTACATCAAGAAATCCATTTCCCATTTCTCATTTCTTCCAAGACTGATCATGCAAAAATGATCACAGAGCAGGTGACATCTTGTTCATAAAATACAAGGCCATGTGTTAAGTCAATGACAATGGGAATGAATTGTCACTCACCCACAAGAGGAGAGAATTGTTAGTAGAACCTTTAGTCTAGCCCATGTTACTAATTCTATTCAGAAGCCTAATCATGTTTCAGTTGAGGATCCTATGTTTTATTACAATGACCAATATAAGAAATATTTACTGAGCCTGAGTCCCCAAATTGTGTATTAGTTTATGAAATTAAACATATTGTCATATCCTGTCTGGCCTAATGACAATTATGCAGACAGGAAGCCTGAGTTCAAACAAAGATTAACTCTGAAAATAAAAAGATTCAACAGACTAGGTCAAGGGTCAGCACACTTCTGTATAAGCCAGAGTATAAATATTTTTGGTTTTTAGGCCGTATGGTGTTCTATATGACCAATAAACTTTATTTATTAAAACTTTATTTATTAAAAACAGGTGGTGGGCTAGATTTGGCCCTGGGGTCATTGTTTGCCAACCCTAGGGCTAAGGAGCTGTAAAATCAATTTTCTACAAGGGTCAGGAAAGCAACATAAATGAGTGAAATGAGCTTTGTGTTACACAAGTGGAAATGGGGAGCACACGCCTAAAAGACGGCCGAATTCCTTAGGGGTAGAGACAACCACACCGAGAAGTGAATATCCAACCAAGAGATTTATTTAGCAGTGGCGAGGTGGCTGCCCGCGAGAGTGAGAGAGCAGCAGCGCGGGCTGGGGAGCTTTGGCTTATATATCCTATTAAGGCACTTGGCACGAGCAGATTGGTTATGGATTCGTTGGGGTCAGCTGGCAGGACTTTATTGGTCTGCATCACAGAGTTTTTCGTGTCATGAGTGGGAAGCCGAACCTAATCTCGGGAAACTCAAACTTAACGGTCTTAGGTCGAGGAGTGTGGGAGCCAGGCGCCAATTTGACTAACAATGCCTTCTCTAAGGAGGGTGACTTCTACTCAGCTATAGGGGATACAGATTCAGGCAGGTCTTTGCTTTAAAAAATAAAAAGCCTCAATTTCCTGCTTCATCTGTAAAATGCTGGCAATCCATTCAAATTTTTAAAAAAACAAAACTTGGGAGGATAGAAGCAAACATGCTTAGGACTCAGGGTTTTTCAACCTCAGGAATATTGACATCTTGGCCTCAATAATTCTTTATGACAGGGGGCTGACCCTCCCCTCAAATTGCTATGACCAAAAATGTCTCCAGATACTTACAAGGGTTGCTTAAGAAGTGAACCACCCCCACCAACCCCCAACCCTGCACTGAGAACGCTGCTGTAGCTGAATCTTGCCATGGGCCACCTGTTACAGACTTTGGTAATTATTAGTCTGTTTGGCCTGCATCTCTAAATATTTACCTCTACACCATCCTTTATTATTTAAATATATTTTTGCATTGCTTTGGTTTCAGTTCCTTTTGCAGAGGAAGAAAATGAGAACAGGATAGAAAAAACAACAAAAAAAAGAAGAAGAAAATTGGGAGAGATCGAGAAGACATGAAGGGCTAGAAGGGAAAACTAAATGACAATGGAAGATGGAGATGCCCAAGAGCAAATTTGAAGCTGGATGCCGTGTACCCTACTCTCAACATAAAAGATGAAAATGATCATAAGAAGGAAAACATCCCAGAGAACTAAGCTTTTTTTATTATTTAAAATAACTTCTAGGCCCTCATGTTTAACTTGGATACACATCCTTCATGTAGTGATTCACAACTAATGAAATTGGGGAAAACCAGTATTTGGATACACTTTAATAAACTTTCAGACAAATGCTATAGATCATTCCCTAGTCATCATTCTTCATATCAATCACAAATTCATTTCTGTTCCTAAAATGTTCTTACTTTGCTTAGGAACATTCATATGTTTGTGGAATATCAGTCTTGCTCTAATACTGAAATAGTCCATTTTCTGCTCTGTATTTCAAATGCTGCATCCAGATTAACTGCTTTAATTTTCCCAATGGTCAGTTAAAATCAAGTAGCCTTCCCCCTGTTTCTGGACACCGGACTTACTTTATAAACCAAAACTGCAGAGTTCTCACTATGAAGCCAAATTCCTTCAAGATGGAGTTCATAGTTTTGTTGGTATTAGAAGAAGAAATCCTATTTGGTAAACTTATGCATTCTAATGCAGGAGGTAGGTATTTAGAGACGTTAGTGAGGTGTGTTTGATTCTTGGCAATTTATTCCCACCTCATGGCTCTTCCCCATTCAAAGTTTCTTCTTTTTGCATATCTTGAAATTTGCTTAGAGATTAGCATACTTTGCCCCCAACTGGGTTGATCTTAGAGGATCTGGAGAACAAAGGTGGTTTCGATTCTCAGGTTTTGAGTTTCAAAACCAAGGTCTAGGGAAAAAAAGATACATATTTTACAAGTTATAAAAGAACATATGATTAGTTAGAGCAAGTTTTTCCTGCAATTAGAGGCTGTGGGAAGAGCCAAAGCAAAGAGATTTAGGTGCAGGTAGAACCACAGGTCCTTAGAAGGAGTCCCCAGGTCCTAGGCCCACATATGATCCCAGAATAACCCCCAGATGGGGGGAAATATTAGAAACCCCAGAGAATTCTGAGGGATCCCAAAGGAGAGGGTGCTGGGATTTGCTCCCTAGGTGAAATCTGTGAAGATGGCAATATCGGTGGGATTCAGCTGATGTGACAGAAATGGAGTAGAATTGGTGGGCAAAGCCCTGATAGTCCCATGGGCCTGGGAAGCTCCCAGTATGCTTGTTCAGGCCAGTGTACCCAGAATGTGTTTGATGGTTTTGTTTTATTTTCTCTCTGTGTAGTCAACAGTCGGTGGATGAATGGCCCTCTGGGTCAGGAGAAGCAGAATGGAAGAGCAATATGCATGGGCTGTGCAACCAGAAACCCAGTAGCAATATGAGATATTTCATCGCCTGACAGCTAGGAAAGGTGATGGAGGTTTAGCCAATGTGTTATCCCCATCCCAACCATCCACTGACTCCACAGTCCTACGTAAGTCCCTTTAGATGCTTTCAGACCCTTTATATGTATTTCCAGGGTATTTGGGCTAAACTGTGTTTCCTCAAATTAATGTGTTGAAGACCTAACCCCCAGCCACACAAAATGTGAGTGTATGTGGAGATAGGTTCTTTAAAGTGTTAAAAATGAGGCCCTTGGGGGAGGCCCTAACCCAATCTGGTTGATGTCTTTATGAAGAAAAGAAATTTGGGGCACACAGAGAGACAGGGGGGCACACATGCATAGAGGAAAGCCCATGTGAGGATGCAGCGAGAAGGCGGCCGCCTGCAGGCCCAGGGGAGGGCCTCAGAGGAAACCAAGCCTGGCAATTCCTTAATCTTGGACTTCCAGCCTCCAGAACTGTGAGAAAGTTAATTTCTGTTGTTTAAGCCCGCAGTGTGTGGTATGTTGTTATGGCGGCCCAAGCTGACTAACACCCTGAGAGAAGCCTGAGGCAGGGAAGACCCTTCACTGAAGGAGAAGTTGGTGCCTCATTCAGGATAACCTAGGCTATGCTGTGAACACCAACAACCCCAGCCTTGGTGGCTGTAAAAGAAGGTTTATTTCTTGCTCATGAAGCCAACTACAGATCCAGGCAACTCTCCCAGACAGTTAACCTCCATGTAGGAACAGACCTCCCAAGGCTACTTCAACTTTGCAACATTTACGTATCAATACATCCCCTAACACCTGAAGGAAGAGAGAACATGGACAACTGATAGCAACTCCTAAATGTTTCTACCCAGAAATGATATGTTTCTGCTCACATTTCATTGCCAAACACAGACCTATGGTCACATCCAACTTCAAGGAGGCTGGAGATGTGCCATCATCCTGTGCGCTCAGGACAGGAAAATTGGAAGTATTGGTCAGTAGAAATAATATCTACCATAAACATGCTGACCTAGATTACCTGGAATTAACTAGCAATTAAATAATTTGTCACCTCCCCCATGACAGAATAAGGGCTCAGAAGAAAAAAAAAATTTAGTGAGGGAAGAAGAAAGTTACATTGCTCTCACACCTGAATTTGACATCTGTGATCCTAAAATTGCTAACACGAGATTAAAGTCAGGACAGTTGGAACTGCAGAATTACAGAATTTCTATCCTGCATCACTATTACCACAATACTTCGGTATAACAAAAAACCAACAAACCCAGTGGTTTTAGCTCCCAAGTCTGTGGATTGGCTTAGTGTATCCTCTGGACCCGGCCAGGCCCAGATGATGTCTTCTGAGCTCATTTACGCATCTTGGTCAGCCAGCAGGCTTGCTGGGGGCTGGTCTAGGATGGCCTCAGTAGGAAATGACTCAGCTCTCATCCATGTGAATTGCTTCCTCTAGCAAGTTAGTCAAGTGTCATGGCTGAGGCAAGGCTCTGAGAAAGAGGAGACGGAAAGGGAGAGAGGGAGCGAACTGAATAGCTTGGAAATGGCACCATATCACTTCTGCCACATTCTATTGGCCAGAGCAAGACACAAGGGCAGCCCATCTTCAAAGTCTGAAGAAACAGACTCTACTTGATAGGAGGACTTTACAAAAGATATGGATACAAGTAGGGATGGAGAACTGAAGATCATTTTTATACCAATCTATCATACACATGGGAGGAGACCTATTCCAAAGTCCAGTACTTCTCACATTATAGCAGCCGAATCATCTAGAGCTCTTGTTAAAAAATGGACTGCTGGGGACCAGCCCATGATGCTGACTCAGCAGGTCTGGAGTGGAGCCCAAGAACCTGCATTTTTCATTAGGTCCCAGGTGAAGGTAATGGCTGTGCTGCTGGTCAGAGGATGACATTGTGAGAATCATTACAACAGTAGCACTTGCAAATTAGGCCAACCTGAAGACACAGAAGAATTGCCTGAGTTACTTACCACGTTTGGGCCAATGTGATAGAAATAGATGCCACATCTCCAGCCTGGGCTTTCTTTCCATGGCACCTTTTGCTCAGTTCTACAAGCCTTTGCCTTGCCTTTGTTGGTCTCTGCCTTGAATTTTGTTATTACTTTTATTATCATCATTTGTAATGATTAAGGCATGACATGGTGTTTCACATTCTGTCCAAGGCATATGAAAAGCTCTGGGCACTGCCCAAGAGGCATAGTCTCAGTCACAGCCAGACATGCAATAGTCTGGCTGAGAACCCCCCAAAACATAACTATGAAATGAAGCAATCCCTGTCAACTAAGCCGTGAATCTATGCGAGAGGTCAAATGTGTCCCCATGAATCACACGTGAGCTCCGTGTTCCCAGATGAGAGCTCAGGCAGTTCCTCCACATATCCCCCAATCTAAACAGATGGTTTTCATTATGCTTCCTGTTGGCTACCACAAGGGACAATCTCTATAAAAGTGATATGACATTCATTTCCCTATGTAACCATGTTACATAGCAGATTCTCCTTTTTATTCCCTGTACCTACATTCCTTGTTCTCAGATTATGGTACTTTTATGGAAACCCCTCACTGAATTGCTTTAATATCATGTCCTTAGCTTTTTCTTAAATAATGTTACACGGTAGTATCCCATGAAAATCACCATCCTATGTGTTCCTTAATTCATCTGTTTCTCCATGCCCCTATTTGAGATGCCTTTCCAAATTCAGATTTATGAAATGGTTTGCATCTCTTGCAGATTATTTAAGACTTCAGGTTTTCTTGATAATAAGAATTATGAAACTAATTTAGTCACCCATACCCTTTTTTCTTTGGCTATGAGGAAGCTCAGAGCCAAATTTGAAGCTCAATTTCAGTTGAGTTTGCTGATATACTTATTAAATTCTTTTAAAAATATGTCCTTCACTTTACATTATGTTTTCAATTTTCCCTGAGCCTAAATTTCTACATTTACTTACTTCTATCATTTCATTTTGTTTACTACTCTTTTGTATGTGTATTACCTCATATGCTTTATAAGACAAAGCAGGTTATAAATAATATAAACAGATTCTCCATATTCCCAAGTAAAATTAAACATTGATTAGCTACTACCCAACAAATACAAATCCTCAGTTAGATTTCTTGGTATGTGAAGAAGCAGGGGGGGGAGTACAGGAGGAAATAAGAGACATCTCTGTTTGGAGGAAAGAGAAAAACAGGTCTCAAAAAAAATTCTTATTGCATAGGACTGAGAAAATTTAAAAAGCAAGAAGTGGGAATCAGAAATAAGTCTGTGTGACTTCTGAAGCCCCTCTCTGCACCACCACCTGACAGAGAACTCCCTGGTGATGCTCAGAAACTCTTCGGCATGTCCTGGCAGCTTCGGCCCAGCCAAAGCTCATCAGCTTCCTACCTTCCACAGCGCGGCCCCTTTCCGAGATTGGTCGGAAAACAAAAGGGTCTGGTTACAGAGCATTGTATGGTGTTATATTACCCAGATGCAAGATGTATGAAGTGTGTATGAGGTTGATCGGGAACAGACCCAGAGGAAAGAGGAAAGAAATAAAAAATAAACACCTTTATTCTTACTTTAACAAAATGTAAAGACAAATGAGTTGTTTTGATCAAAATAATAATTGAGATACTCTTGCATGAAAAAAGGAATATATAAAGCAATAGATACTCATGATGGTTCCCTTTTAGGGGAAAATGGTGACCACCTACTTAGAAGGTCAATAGCCCATGATTTTGGGTCATCTAAAAATACTTCTGTGTTTCTCAGATCATTTGGTATGCAAGCCTTTCAGAAATATTTCTTTCTAACCTAACACTGTCATTTCCTCTAAGACGGGCAGATGATGACAGCCATGGAGTGACGTAAACAGTGTGGAGCATCTCTGAGGACCACGGCAGGAATGCAAATGCCGCACACTAAGGGGTGGGAGGGGCCATCCTTCAGCAGAGGGAGCACAAACATGCCCAGGGGTGGGCGCAGAAACTGCTTCCTGTCATGTTACACTCCCTTTGGTTCACTCCAGCTCAGAGGATGCGGAATCATAGAACGAGGAGCCATCAGCTTTCTCTTTCTGATTGAAAAGTTATTTTTGAAGCATTTCATTAAGAAATGGTAGAGAAAAACTCATCTCTCATTAAACCTGATAGGAAGGGTTTAGGATATTTTTTTCTATTCCCCTTCTCACTGCGAGAAATGCTGCAGCCAGTGTCACTCGGAAATAAACTAAAAGGTCAGTTCTTCAGGAAGGAGGGCTTTGTAACAGCTTCGACGGCCCCGTGACGACACGACCCAAAGCAGCCTCCGGACCACGGAGCCCCGGCCCTTGGCTTCTGTCTCTGCTTTATGCCATAGAGTTACATTTCCGGGGACAAATGTACTCTTTTTTCTTGATTTTTAGACTCTTCCTACACTTAATATCAGAAAACGTTAACTCCATCTCACCCCTAACCCATGAATCCAGCCTCACCTAAGGTCCACAGCACAGGTGGGCCAATTCCTCCCATCGATCCCCACGCACAACATCTCCAGGGAACTTCCTCAGATATCTGCTCTCTTAAGCTCTCCTCACAGACTGCCAGGATCCACTTCTCCTACCTCTGAATTTTTAAACTCTCCCAACTTGACTGTAACACTTATTTGATAGGCCAGTATGTCATCTGCATATATGTGCACAGATGATGAAAGTGGGTGCAGGCCTTGCCTCAGAATACCCATCCATTCATTCAATACATGAATATTTATTGAATGCTATTTGCCAGCACCTTCCGAAGAGCTGAGGACACTGATAACAAGCCATACAGGAAGCCTGCTCTTGGAAGCTTACAAAGTATCAGAGGGGATAGGCATTAAATCGAGTACTCAATATGTTATTTGCAGGTGTAAGAAGTGCTTCAAAGGAGAACAAAATCCTCGGGAATGTGTCACAGCAGAGCCTGATCCAGTCTAACACAGGGATCAAGGAAGACTCCCTTGAAGAAATATCAGAGGAGCAGGTGTTGGATAGAGAAATGAATGGTAGTGAGAACAGCATGTAGAAAGGCCCTGAGGCAGCATGGAGATCCATTATTTTAAAGGCTTCAAAGACCAGCAGTGTGAATCAAAGAGAAATTGGCCAGTAAAGACTACATAGTGGTTCCAAATTCATGTAACACACTCCTAAAAAAATTGGGAGTCCCAGAAAGTTTTGATTACTCATGCAATGTGATCACTGATAAGAAAATGAAATGTAGGATGATGCTTTATTCACCTCTGCAGCCTCAGGGCCTTAAACTACAGGTGACTCACACATAGTAGGTGCCCCCCACAACATAAAGGGGGAGAAATGAATGAATTTATACATTTGTTCAAGAAATAAATCTACATAATGTCTTTGTCCTTAAAAAACAGCAGGTCAGTCACTCCCTAATAGTCATTTCTATAAGACAGTCATTATCTGGTGGCTACCTCTATGACCTGATTGCCTGCATTAAGGATTCCTAGGTGGAGGCTGAAAACTGCAAGACAGCTGGGAAAATATCCAGACTGAACATATGCAGACACACAATGGTAGAGAAAGTCCTGAATCTGGAGACCTAAAAACATAGATTTGAATCTTAATTTAGCTATTTATAAACAGCCCAATCTTAGGCAATATTCTGAGTTTGTTTTTTTCTGAATATTGGTTTGGTCAATTAGAGGCATGGTGAAATTTTTAAATTAGCATCACCTCACATGGCTGTTATTAGGATTAAATTAGAAATTTTCTGTAAAATGTTTGGCATAGCACCTGGCACGTATCTTTATTTGTTGAGTTCTTTATTTGTACGGTTACTGACATTAACAACAATAACAACCATCAGCAGGTTGCTAAAAAGACAATATACAATAAGAGCAGCTCAACTAACATTTTTGAGTACTTCCTATGTGCCAGGCACCATTCAAAGGACTTTATGAGAAATTATTATCTCATTTAATCCACTCATTTAATTTGATCCCTGTGAAATGGGTCCTGCTGTTCCTCCCATTTATGAATAAGGAAACTGAGAGAATTCTATGGCAGGCAGCCTGTAACATGGGTTCCTGGCATTCATGGACAGTGTGATCTCTCCCACCAAGTAACTCGCTTCTACCAGTAGAATATGGGATCATTGAAGGAATGCGTCTGACTTCTCTGATTCAATTACAAAAGACTGTAACTTCCATCTTGGTAGCAGACGTTTTCCCTTGATGAATTTGATAAAATTAACTGCCATGTTGGAGAGATACATGGCAAGACACGGAGGGCAGTCTCAAGCCAGCAAAGAAGTTAGACCTCAGCGCCACTGCCCTGCAGAAGTGGAATCTTCCCTACAACCATATAAGGGAGCTTGGAAGTGGGTCCTGCCCACATGAGCCTTCGGGTGAGCTGTCATCCTAGCTGACACCTTGATTGCAACCTCATGACAGACCATACAACAGAGGACCCAGTGAAGTCGTGGCTGGATTCTGACTCATAGAAAC